CCATTTTGACTTAAGTTGTTTTGAGATTCCAAATCTACTTAAGTGAATTCAAAATCCACTTAAGTGAATTCCGAATCCACAGAATCCCGAATCCACCTACAACATATATATGCACATATGACATACATAAAACGTGACCATATGTCCACTCACAATCCAATTTTAGATAGAAGATAAACAATTCCAATACTTTGAAATAGATTGCATTGCACAGCTAGGTACCCTAATTTTTTTTTATACTATGTAAAATGTCTTCAACTTTGTGAAATGATAAATCATGCCCAGTAAAATACCGAATCCGTTCGCATATTATTAAGAAATTTTTTAGCATATAAGGTTTTTACTGGGTATTCAGGTTGTTTATAAATAAAATTGTTAAATAAAATTTTTTATTAAATTTTTTTTTTAAAAAAAAAATTAAAATCCGTCACCGGATCATTAAGGTTAGTTGGTAACATGAAAACCGATAGTATAAATTTTTATGTCATATAGAAATATTTTTTTACATGTAAAATTTTTTTTTACTGATATCCGGGTTGTAAAGCGATAAAATGTACAAACAAAAAGTTTTTTTTAAATAAAAAATCAAAATCAGGGTTGGTGGTTACAAGAGGTCAGTTGATGATATGAAAACCGAAAATATATGTTTAATGTCCATTATATCCAAAGTTCATTATTGAGAGGTTCGCTATAAAGGATGTTGGTTGTATTTATGAAAATTTTTAGCTCTATAAGATACTTTAGTCATTAAAGGATCCTTCATCGCTAATGAGATAGAGTCTTTAAATTCCGGTGGTGATTTTTGCCCAGACATTAATTCAAGCTTGAATTCTTTCAATATCAATATTGTAAGTATTACTGTTTCCAAAGTTGCCAATTGCTCTCCCACACTATAATTATTAAAAAGTTACTATATATAAAATGAAATCATGTACAATATTATTCTAAGTAATACTAACCAACTTCTAGGTCCAGCACTAAAAGAAGCAAGCTTGAATCTATTTGGTCGTAATCCATTCTCTGAATTTAAAAATCTTTCAGGATCAAATTGTTTTGCGTCTTTTCCCCAGATTTTTTCATCTCTCCCCATTATATAGAGATTAAACATTACAAATTCTCCAGCATAAATTGGAATATTATTAGGTAGAACAGTATTTTTAATGCAGGTCTTTGTTCATAATTGGAAAAAAGTTAAGACAATAAAATAAATAGCGATTTACATAAAACATTATTATAATTAAATTTATTATAATTACCCTCCCATTTTCGGGAACACTAGGATATAAGCGAAGAGTTTCATAAAATGTAGCTGTAGTATATTTAAATAATTTAATATCATCATATGATGGGATAGGCTTTTCTGTAGAGAGAAGTGAATTAATTTCTTGAAGCAATGAGTCTTCAACAGATTGGTTTGCCATGATTGCGTACATCATCCAAGATAGAGACTATTTAATTCAAATGCTTAGTATAAAAATTACATTTTTTAAACCGCAATTACAACTTACCAGTGCAGTAGTATTACGACCTAAGTGATAATAAATAAAAAGCTTAGATAACGAAAAACAAGAACCCACATCATCTCATTTTCTCTACTTTTTATAATATAAACGTACCAGCAAAAATAAGACTCATTACAACATTTCTCAACTCTTTATCATTAAATTTTTTACCATCATCATCAACAGCATCCATAAGCAAAGTTAACATATTGTTAACTGGTTTATGCTCAACTTCAAGCTTAGATCTATGACTATTTATCAAATTATATACATAGTCATCAATATATTTACAAGCTTCATGCATTCGTTGACCTTTTTCACTATATTTTTCTGTTAATTTCCAGAAAGGTTGGAAAATTCTTTCAAGTGTTCCTGTTTGAACGTAATCAAAACTAGTAACAAATTTCGATTCTTCACCAGTATAGGTTAGACATTCAAAATCTACACCAAATGACAAACTATCATTTTTGAAAAAAACAAATCCAATTCAATAAAATTAACAATAATTATTATTTATAAGAGTTATATAAAGAAAACTTACTCTCCAATAGTCTCTATAGTAAATCGGAAAAATAAATCTTTTAAATCAATAGGTTTTCCACTATCTGCATACTTTTTTAAAACATTTATTACGATTTCAGATCTTCGAATTACAGATGCATAAATTATATTTCCAAAACTCTTTTGTTGAAACTGTTGACTTATTAGTTTTCTTTGAAATTTCCACATAGGACTTCATTATATATTTATATATATATATTAATAAGTATTAAAATAGTTTACATAAAAGCAATAATTTCACAAAGATACAGACCCCTCAGCCATGAATATTCCATCTCCAAGCAAGTCGTGATACACTTGGATAGCAGCAGGATTTTTTTGAAAATTCTCAAATTTTGCTTAAATTAAAACAAATTTTAATTAATATTAAAAAATTATTCATGTTAACACTTAATTTAGAATACTCACTTTTTAAAACATATTCTAATGTTTGTGGATCATTTGAGACAACATTACGCCCAGCTTTAGGAATTGTAAATGTGCTATTTTTATGTAAAATAATAATAATAATAGTAAATATAGAAATGAATGTTTTTTTTATCATTAAGCATTTTTTTTAAAAAAAATTGATAAATACTAAAGTGAACCATATTTATTTGCCAATTCTTGTTGCAATTCAATATAAGAATTTTTTTTAAACACAAATGTGAATAAATTTCCAAATATAGGAACACCCTTAGGTCCAGGGATGTCTTTCCTAGTGGTTGCTCCTATAGCATCCGGATACTTTATTGCAAGGTGAATAATATAGCCTATGAATGAAACTAAAAATAAAATAAAGATATCGAATATT